ACTTCCGTAGTGATACTGCCTCGAAAACCCAAGGAGGGGTCGCTATGAGTCGGGTCCGACTCGATGGCACATAACAACAACAACAACAACAACGTGGGGACACTGGGAGTTGGAGCCGACTTGACGGCACCGAACAACAGCTGCAATCTTGAAAACAACTTGAGTGTGGTTTTAGTGTTGCTGATGTCTTTCCGTTGCCCACTTTGGGGCAGGCTCATGAAGGAAGATGTGGTCTGTGCCCTAGATGCAGGTGTGGTCCCGTCTAAGGAACACACAAATGAAGTAAAACAGAAACGACTTTTCTCTCTTTTAAATGAATCTTTTTTCAGTTGGTGGGGAGTCCTTGGGCCTAAAAGCCTGCCCCTTCTAGAGAATTCAGACAGTTGCTGAATTATTTGGTCATTGCAAATTGTAAATTTCCAAGAGCCTCTTAGATGAGAGCGCTGTGGGAACGCGAGGAAGCCTGGTGGTGCAGCAGCCAGGCTCTCGGCTGCCGACGGAAACATGGGCAGTTCAGACCCACCCAGCGGCTCCAGGGGAGAGAGACCTGGCCATCTGCTCCCATAAGGGGGGCAGCCTAGGAAACACCATGCGGCAGTTCCACTCTGTCCCACGGGGTCGGGGGTCCCCTCGATGGCACCCAGCAACTGCAACGTGGGAACACAGCTATGTCATCCCTTGCCACAGTCCCACCTTCTTTTATTTTAATTTATATAAACTTGGATGGAAATCCTGGGATGGGGGAAATCTGAGTGCCTTTAAGCATAACACAAAACCTTCAAAAGCCAATCTTGATGTTAGCATTTAGGACTTTTTTTTTTTGGAAAAGCTCAGTGGGTTGGCTTGAGGACTGGCGAAGTGCTGTCCTCCATGCACATGCCAAGGTAGTGGGAAGACAAGGGAGCTCATTTTAGACACACAGACAGACAAAGTGGGGGTGGCTTCCGTGAGGTCAAGGGCAGGTATGAGTTCTGCTGCACAGTAGCTGCCTGAGGGGTTGGACGTTGATGGAGAAGCTTTGCAGTTACTGAACTTCAAAATCAGTGATACATGTTCATACATACGGAACCCTGGTGGTGCAATAGTTAAGCTCTCGGCTGCTAACTGAAAGGCAGTTGGCCAACCTGGTGATCTGCTCCAGTAAAAATTGCCAATGGTCGTGATTCTGACCCACAGCGCCCCTAGAGGACAGAGTGGAACTGCCCACAGGGTCTCCAAGGCTGTCAGTCTTCACAAAAGCAAAGCCCAAACCACACCCACTGCCTGGAGTCCATTCTGACCCACAGCGCCCCTAGAGGACAGAGTGGAACTGCCCCACAGGGTCTCCAAGGCTGTCAGTCTTCACAGAAGCAAAGCTCAAACCACACCCACTGCCTGGAGTCCATTCTGACCCACAACGCCCCTAGAGGACAGAGTGGAACTGCCCACAGGGTGTGCAAGGCTGTCATCTTCATGGAAGCTGATTGCCTCATCTTTCTCCCATGGAGTAGCTGGTAGGTTCAAACCACCGACCGTCCTGTTAGCAGGAGAGTCCTTCCCCACTGCTCCACCAGGGCTCCTTCCCGTAAAGATGGATGCCTAGGAAACCCTGTAGGGCGGTTCTCTGTCACCTGGGGTGGCCATGAGTCAGCTGAGAACACGTTCACACTTATCTATATATGGTGTAACTTGTTCTAAAATGCAAATTTAGACGATCATGAGTTATTACAAAGCATGTGGCTGTTTCCATGTTTGGAGGAAAAAGATGCATGGAAGTCCCCCCTACCTCAGTAGGAACTCACGCCCTGTCTTCTCCCCTCCTCCCCCAGCCCTCAGAGGGTCACTGTAGAGGTGGGAGCAGGTGGAGGTTTTAGGGGTCTGGTGTCTGTAGGTGAGTCTTGCAGGGTGAAGTGATGTGAGGGCTTTATGGACCCCTTTCTTGTCCACAAGGGGCTGGTCTCTCAGGGCTGCATTGGCTAGGACATGACACTAGCTCTTGGTTCAAACCCCAGCTCTCTCCCTCACGACTTGGGGGCCTTGGATAAATCCTGTACTTGCCTCAGTCCTGTGGGTATTCCTTCTCTTTTGGGGTGGCTGTGAGATGTAGAGAGGGGCCTTGGTGGTGTAGTGGCTGAGTGCTCGATTGCTAACTGAATGGTCAGCAGGTCAAACCCACCAGCTACTGTGTAGGAGAAAGAGGAAGCGGTCTGCTTCGTAGACTAAGAGCCTTGGAGACCTTGGGGCAGTTCTCTGTGAGTTGGAGTCAGCTTTACAGCACTGCGTTTGGGGTTTGGGGGGGGGAGGTTTAGAGGAGAGCTTTTAGCAGGTGACACAATATAGACGTCAGAGCTGTGTAGGAAACACTAGCTGTTTCCACTTCATTCATTTCAGGAGCAGTGACAGGTGGCCTCTGGAAGCACCGTCCGAGGGAGAGCTTCTCGCCACTCTTTGGGTGTCAGGGTCTGCTTCCTGAGGGGCAGGGAAAGTCGGGGTGGGTGGGCCGCGATGTGGTGAGTGGATAACCCTCAGAACCTGGGGAAGCCTTGTAAGATCCCTGCCCAGAGCTCCTGTTGGTAGGAGCCTTCAGGTCGGGGCCAACTTACCGCAAGCCCGTGGACAACAGGAGGAAACCCCGCCCGGCTGCTGCGTGCGAGTCCATTGTTGCAGCCACCGTGTCACCCATCTCATTGACGGTCTAACTCTTCTTTGCTGACTCTCCACTTTACCAAAATGAGGCCCTTCCCCAGGGACTGGTCCCTCCTGATGACATGACCAAAGCGTGAGAGACAGAGTCTTGCCACCCTTGCATCAAGGGCGTTCCGGCTGTACTTCCGCCAGAACAGATGAGTTCCTTCTTTCCACAGTGTGTGGTATATTCAGTATTCTTCTCTAAGGCCATAATTCAAAGTACCTGAGACGAAGGCTCACCATCCTTGCTCAAGGAGCATTCCGGCTGTACTTCTTCCAGGACAGCTTTGTCTGTTCTGGTCGTCCATGGCATTTCCAGTATCCTTCACCAACACCACGATTCAAAGGCCGCCACTCTTCAGGCTTCCTTATTCATTGTCCAGCTTTACATGCACATGAGGCGATTGAAAATGCCATGGCTTGGGCTAGATGTACCTTAGTCCTCAGAGTGACACCTTTGCTTTTTAAACCTTTGAAGAGGTCTATGGCAGCAGATGTGCCCAGTGCAATCTGTCGTTTGGTTTCTTGGCTGCAGCTTCACGGACGTTCACTGTGGGTCCTTGTGCCCTACTTCAAGGCACCTGGAATTCGGTGATTACAGTATCCTCGTGTGGATGCTGAGGGGCTGCCGTTTCTAGATTGTTCTGTTACATCACGGCTTCGCCCTGTGGGGGCAGCACCGAGCCTTTGTCAACTCATCCCTTAGCAAGGATGGATGGGTGCACAGGTGACTGGGTGGTGACGGGAAAGTAGAATGGGAACCCTCCCTGGCTGTACCTCTCAGAAGGTTGGGAGATGGAAGTCACGAGAGTTTACCAGACACCTTCTATGCCACGTATTGTTGTTGCTGATTGGTGATATTTGGTTATGTAGGGAGACCCTGTGGGGCAGTTCCACTCTGTCCTCTAGAGGC